GAATCCCACCACTGGATGGAACCCTAAACTTATACCAAGTTTTATATAGGAAGTTATTCCAAGCTACTGCCTAAACAAGGTAATTTCTGTACAATCACAAATAAATATTCTATTAACATAGCCATAATATCATAAGTTAATTGTCTCTAAAGTCATTGTTAGACTTAGAAAAGTATAGGGATTTTAGACAAAAAAAAAACATTTCTGGAAAAACTAACTTAAGTAGTAAAACTTACTTGTTGTATCATTTGAAAATGTGTTGACTTTTCTTACAGGAGTTATCATGAACATCAGGAACCATCATATGATGTATGTGCAGTTACAGTTAATCTAGAAAAACAGAACACACATTGTAGGGTAAAACCGTATTCTGAATTACTAAACAAAGCAGACATGTTTCAGACAGTTATAAGCACGCTGCAAAAACTATGAATTCCACTAAGGATTAAGACCTAGGAACAGTTCATTGTATTTTGTACTTTAACATATACATAAATTGTATTTTTGTGCAAAGTGACTCAGCTTACATCTGACAGCCAATAAAACAACTGCTTTCCATGTGTTCAAATATTAGCATCTTGTATGGTTCAAATAAAACAGTTTTTTTGTTTATTTATTTTTTATTCTTAATTAAATGGTCACTATTCATCCATTGGACAATTATTGGGGTGGTTATGCACATAACCAATGTGCAACTTTGCACCAAAAAAACAAACCAAACTAGCTAACTCATTATCCTGCCATCAAGGGGCAGGGACCTAAAGCTCATCTGAGTATAGAGGCATGAGTATGCCCACCATACTGTATTTGTGATGTTTCAGCCTGTTGTTAGCTGAGAGGTCGAGTGAGAAAAGTTTATGCTGCAACCACAGGTTCTTTGTACAATGCTAAGCAAGTTCTGTTCCCTATCTTGAAAGATGCAGTCAAGGAAAGTCTGGACCACTTCCTTAAGTATTTCAGATAGGTCACTGTCAAGAATAAAGATTCCTAGACAAGCGGTGCATTGCCAGATGCTAAATCTGTATAAATGAGTGTGAGAAGCAACCAAGTGTTTGAATAATTAAGAAGATTCTGGCAGTATTTGTCTGGCTGCCTGAAAGAAGTCAGACAAGGAAATACTAGTGGAAAACCAGCATGTTAGCTCCAATGATTGGCTGAGATGCTGACAACAACCTCCTGACCTTGGCTGAGTTACCAGCAGCTAGGACAGCTACTGGAACATAACATCAATGACTGAAAGGAATTGGCAATCCTTGCTTACTTAGCTATCAAGTGGTGTTTGACTACGAAATATATGTACTACATTATGTGATTGGCACTCTATTATTACAAAATCAGGACAGATTTGTTAATTTTAAAATTAACTGAAATAAAAGGGCATTATGACCCTTACTTTGAGCTATTGAGCAGTGTTTCACCATAAGTTATCTGCAGGATATCAGGTGATAGCTATTCAATCAAATATCTAACACTTCTTTCAGATTAGGTACATATGTTAGACTGACTTAGCTTTCCAAAGTTAGGCAGTCATGTGCTCAATTACCACAGTTAGGATGGCTTGTGTTAATGGATGTAATACCTAGAATATTAAGTTTGCATGACTGAGGATGATAGTTAGAAGTTTGAAACCACAAGCAAGAGTTGGATGTTGGGAACTTTACTTTGAGCCATTGATCAATTTAATGAGGCAAAATATTTTTACTACATTTTGCAAATACCACTCACCCTGTGTAGCCAAGTAGTAGCAGAATTGTTGCTAAGCAGACAATGCAAAAGTTGCTAAACATCTACAGTACACAAATGTATACATAACTCAACATTTTACAGTGAAAGAGTTGCATCTTTTCTCAGCTCAAAATATGAATCAGGTTGTTAGGAATTTAAGTAGAATAACCCTTGTTTGACTGAATATGCCTGTATTTATTTTACTACGATACCAACTGAGGGGAGTGAATTGACACTAAAATGATTCAATATCTGGATAGTTCACCTACTAGTATTGATGGCCATCTAGGGCTGTAATTGCATTTTACTGTAGAATACTATGTCTAGCCTAGGTTAGTCCAAGTGTGTGCCGACATATACAGTGAAATACAAGCACAATTATCAATCCCAGCTTAAAGAATTTTAGTCAATATTCCTAATTTGGCTGGATTCTACTGGTGGTTATTTTGTGATGCCAAGAAAACATGTTAATGTTAACATCTTGTATGTGGCAGCACAATACAGGATTCCAGCTAACAAGACAGATAGTGGAGATAGCTCTTGTTGGTTTCTGTGGTAACAGCAGGAGGAAGTCACTCTATAGCTGCAATATACACGTATGAATAAACATGTGTGTAGTTTTGCATAAGTGCATGGACATTACATAGTTCTTCATGAATGTTGCAAAACACAATTGAATTAATTACACTGAAAACACATGTAATTATCAAGCAACAGAGAAGTGTAAATAAAGGGATTTGATCTGAATGTTGACCGAGATACAAGGTCAAAGGTAATTAACGACTTTTAGAGCATTATTTAAGATACATCCAACATTTCCATTACTGCTGGAAAAAGAATGTTTTCAATTTCTAAACTGAAATATTCATCAGGCAGCAATTTTTGTTGAAGAAAGAAAAGTAATGGATAAGTTCACACTATCTTTAAGAGAAATCACAATTTGACCTAATGTATTCTAAAGCATTAATGAAAGATATTTCAGTTGGATCAAATCTAAATATTAATGAGCAGGTGAAATTTGTTGTAAAAAGTGAAATATAAACAGTAGCTTAGGTATTAAAAATGAAAACTTGGTATTTCCAGGGTTGTTTTTTTTTATGTAGGACATAGTACTTTTAGTTCTACTCCACTGGACCCAAGTTATATTTAGATAACTAGATAATAATGGATGGATTGTTGAAAAGCTCCAGGCAGTTATGTTAACTGTTGCCATGGGAATGACAGCAATGGGCAGCACAGCTGTGTGTTGATTAAGTGTAAGACCCAATGAAGCTTGAATCAGTAATGAAAGAAACTATTACAAAGAACAATGTTTCGACAAACTTGTCAATATGTTGTACATTTGTAATAAAGTTTCTTTCCCTATGCATTCAAGCTGTTTCCAAACTTTATTTTCTAAAAAGTGGGTTCCTTGTCAAACAATGAAGTTTGGTAGATTAAGATATCCATACAAGCAACGAATGCATTGATTACAGGCAATACACACAGTACACAAATCTAATGCAGTGTTACTTGTTATGGCTGCTGGCACAACACTCAAACTTACTTTTAGCTGAAATTCTTACCAATCAGAATCTAGCTGATCTCACAACTTCTAATCATGACTTTTGTTATGTATGATCAAATACTTGACCTTTTTTGCTATCTTTTTTGACTGGATGTGCTAGAAGTTTTGAAGAAATGATTATGCTGCTAGCTTGACCACTCATACTCTCACTGTAAAATTAGATATTGTTCTATGACATTGTTATGACCACAACTATATCATTAGATTTCTAATCACCAAAACCAGCAAGGAAAACATCACCTGTCCCTGCAACCTCTCCAGGATCCAGCCTGCCATGGAAATTAAACAGTAACAACTCTGGATGAGAACCACAAAGTTTATTTTTCCTTTCATTTATGTTTATCTTTACTATTATTTAATCATTGTCACTTACACAAGTAAATAATTAAAAGCTTTATCCTCCTCCTTCAGTAACTCAAAGTAATTACTTGTAATTTTAACCACATTTAAGTTATTGATTATTCTTGAATCATTATTGTGCAACATTTTCAATCATTTTTATTCTTTTTGTGAACAAATGACATACAATACATCTCTTCTTTCATCTTGAATTATCAGTATGCAACATTTTGGTATCATTATTTTTAAGATCTTTGTTCAAGAGTAAAATATAAGGCATTACCCTTCTTTCATCTTGAAAGAATATGCAAGATTTTAAAATCATCTTTGTACAGGAGAAGAATACAATGCATTTACAATTTTTCTTTTTCATCATGCAATGTTGTGTATTTTCTATGAAAGCAGAATGAAAATATTAACCCTTCCTCACCTTTGAAGTTCTGATCATTTCTTTTTACTGTGTGAAGCGTGCTAGTGTTTCCCAATAAAACAAAAAAACATTAATGTTACTTCTGATTGTGATTATCTTTATATTCAGGTACTTTTGTACAAGTGTATGTGACATTACTCTTGCCATCAATACCTTATTAGTTATCAGTACACATAGTCATGTGATAAAATGTATGAAAGTGAATAAAGAAAGTAGTTATTGATTTTATATTGTGTTGATCTATGTTGAATAGCTTTTGTATATTTTCTAGAGTATTAATGGGAAAAGCTTATGTTCTGTTGTGAGGTTATAAAGTATCAGTGAAATTGTTTTTCTATGAAAAAGACACCGATTTTATACTATATTTTTGATAGATAGAGATAAAATGTTCATTTCGGCACCGAGTTCTATTACCATATGATCTTGGTTTCATGTATATATTAAGAAACCAGGTGTATTCATTTCTTATATTTGATGTGGTATTATATTATTCTATTTTAATATTGAAATAAGTTTCCCTGTTAAAAAGCCTCTCTTGATGTATTTGAGATGCTGTATGCTTTGTTTTTATTGTTTTACATTTGTCAGTTTTTTGTCCATGTAAAATTAATTCATTAAATTGAGTTTTATTAAAAGGTCTATTTCACGTATTTGAAAAGCCTCTCTTGATGTATTTGAAATGCTTTATGTTTTGTTTTTATTGTTTCACATTTGTAAGTTTTTTGTGCATGTAAAATTAACTCATTAAATTGAGTTTTGTTAAAAGGTCTATTTCTTGTATTTGAAATATTTCACTGATTCTATATTAAAGGAATTTAAATTTTTAAAATTTGTATTTTGTACTAAGATTAATGTGCTTCTTCATTAAAGAATATCTTGTATCTTAAACTGTAATGCTAATTTAATGTGATATTTTGATTTTGTTATTGTAACATCTATTTTGTTAAGTCAACATGTGATGTTTTACAGGGCCGAGAGAAAGCTACCCTGCTGTCTTGATTGCTACTGCACATTATTTAACTGGATTTTAAATTTGAAAGTAAAAGTTTGCTTGCAGATAAGTAGTGGAAAAGTGTGGTATGTATGCATACCACGCATTTTTACACTCTTACCATTGTACATATGTACAGAGTATGTAGTTTGACAAAGAACAGTGGTTAGGGAAGTAAGTAAGCCCCTTTTACCCTAGTAACCTATTGTTCAGAGTCGTTCATCTATGACATCACATGTACCTTCTCATGATAAAATTACAGTAAACTTGAGTATACTAAGTGAAAGTAGACAGATCTGAGTGGCCAATCAGACTATTTCTCTAATGGAATGAACAGTGATGTAGGTTGCACATGCACCCTGAGAGGGATGGCATTATAGAATTTTGTATATAATACTATGCCCACACTATTATCTCTCTCTCTCAGGCTCAAGACCTCAGTCTGGTAAACAAAGCTTAAGTTCTTTGTTTGACTAAAACAATTTTCTCCAAATTAACAAGTCTAAGAAGACACTTTGAGTTATCTATCCAGGAAAGAAGCTGTCTTTTGTCTTATGTACTTATCAATTTTAATAGAGTTAAAGTGTTAAATAATGACTATTCATTATGTCCAGTCTCTTTATTTGCTTCAGCTTTAGCAAGAGACAGAGAATTGACACTTACTCTTTAATACATTTCCTGATCAAATTTCCCATTATTCTGCAGGTTCTACCCAATTACTTGAAGGGAATACCAAATGAATGCAATGGAGAATCTAACCTGTAATTTTAAAATCTGGGTAACAACCAAGTTACTAACATTCAACTGATTATAGATTCATGCACTAAAAGAACTTAGTAAATTTGTTTGCAAAAATATTTGAAATTTTTAGCCTTAAATAGCAGAATACTTACTAGAGTGAAGAAAACTTGTGCATAGTCCCTCTTATGGACATACAGCAAACCACCTCATCCAACAAGTTTTGGATGAAACTGGACAATATGCAATTCTTTCATTTCATATATAAGCCAGTGGGAAATATATATATTTTATCATCTAAAACACAAGTATAGGCAGGAGATATTTTTAAATTAATACTTTTAAATATTTTGACAGTGAATAGGTTTTAATCTTAGCAACTATGAAAGCTAAGTCTCTTATAGTCCTTAGAAAATAAAAAGCAACTCAGTAAATTACATGGAGTTTGGCGTGCGTGTGTGAGATCACATCGCCAATGGAGTCAAACAATAGTCAGTCATCTAAATATACAATAACAAGCATTTGAGAGAACAGCCATTGTGCAGGATTCACTGGAATATGAGGGACATAGTCAGTGCTGAAATAGAACAGATATTGAATGATCAGATAATTCAACCTCCAGAGTGCTTGGTCATCTCCAGTTGTGACTGTCAATAAGAAGGAACATCAAGGTGCTGTGTGGATTTTAAGTAGGTGAACGAGGTAATGCATTTCAACCCTTTTCCTCTAATACACATGGATGAATGTCTGAATATGATATGGGAATCTCTTTCATTTTTGGTCTAAGAAATAAGTAGGTGACTGAAGATTGGAAAGTTGCTAATTTACTATTATCTTGTAAAAAAAACTGGTGTTACTCTGGAAATTATAGATCAGGTAGACTTATTTCTTTAATGGGAACAAGTCTAGAGATTCTGATAAAACAAGATTTGCAAATAAATTAGTAAAATATATCAAAAACAGCCAACAAGCAATAACCAAATGGAAGTCTTGCCTTATTAACATTTTTGAGGATTATCTGATGTACTTGTATATTCAAAGAGCTTTTACTAAGGAATAAAGTAAAAGGTAGGGAAAAAACTAGTTAGCTGAGAAAGCAAAAAAATTGTCATTAATGGAGTTCAACAAGACTGGACCTTCAAGGGTCAATGCTTGGGCCTTTGCTTTTTCTTATTAACATTAATGATACCAATAGGAAATTGACAAAATCTACTGATGAGATTAAATCATTAGATATTTCTAGCTGTGACAAGATACTACAGAATGACTTAGATCAATTAGTTAGGTAAACATGTATTTGGCAAGTGATCTTTAATTATAATAAATGCTACACAATGTATTTAGATTATCATAATCTGGATCATGTTTAATATAAGATGGGAACACTCAACAGTATGACATGAAGTGCAGCATCTTGACATAATGGAGGACAATTCATTCATATCACTGAGGAAGTTCTGTTGCTAGTAGTAAATCCAATAAAATGTTTGTTTGTTTATAGAAATACTGATTAAAAGTCAAAAGAGGTTATTTCTTTATCAGTCAATAGTTAGAGGCCTCACTATGAATAATAATATATTCATCTTTGGTCTTCTTACCAAAGAGATAATGACTTATTGAAAGAGGTTCAGAGAAGGTCTACCAGGATGTTTCCATGGATGGAAGGGTTATTTTATGGGGCTCGGTTAAGATATTTTAACTTAGTTTCGTTGAAGAAGAAAAGAAAAAAGGGTAAGGCATGATATTAAAGTTTAAAAGAGAATTCATACAATAAACACCTCTGCTAGATTCTGAAAAAAACTGTCAGAGGACAAACATTTAAGATTTCAAAACATCCAGTCAAGACAGTTTTATTTTCCTAACAGGGTGATTGGTTTATGGAATGACTTTCCATAGACAATAATGAAGACTGGCACTTTACAAGGGTTCAAGAAAAAAATCAACAACTTCCTGAAAAATAAAGAGTGGGTGTGGAAAGACAGCCTTGAAGAACCAAATGATCCCTTGTTGGACATATGCTAAGTATAATTTTTAAATACTTTAAATTGACTCACTTGCTTCAGGTCCATTTGGTCGAATGTTCAACATTAGCCGCTGCATCACAATGCCTTCATTACCTTTGTTTTCTGAGCATTAAATTTCATATGGGCCAGGCTTTCTTAAGTGTCCAATTTGATGTCAGTGTTCTGGGACAAATTTCTCGGAGTATGTATCTTACAAACATATAATAATTTCTAAATGATAGACAATGGATACAGCTTTCCAAACATACAATATGTTGAGTTTGTATTAAGTTTACCAGCAAACAAAGAAAAAAAAATGGTGGGGTGTTAAAAGTAGCATGTGGCCAGCAGAAAAGATTAATTTCAAAGCAATAACACAAACAGAAAAATTGTAAGTGTGATTCAAGCCTTTATTGTGATTAACTAGTAAACATTTATCCTTTGAAGATTTCTTATTAGCCGATTGTCACATTATATTTTTACATATAAAAACATCAAAGTAACATGTTTCCATAATCATGCATTGTCCTTTACAGTTGTTTATTAAGATAACTAGAAATTTGAGTAAATAAAAAGATTAGTCTAAAATCAATTTGGGAAGTATATAATTTGATCTGATCATTTCCCAAACACAGGATAGAGATATTGTGGGTTATGTACATTTGGAGCTTGTAATAAAGTTAATTTTTTTAAGCACGTGATCTCCTTTATGCATATATCTAGTGTAGATACTCAAATTGTCATATCATTATACACAACAGCCAAGACATTTGTTGTTATCAATAACTGAAAGGTTAAGAGTAAATTGCATTATTCAATAAAAATCACTGAACGTGAAATTGCATGAACTCCTTTACTTCAGTTGGGAATATATGGAGTACATAATGCTTTAATACTTGTTTAGATTCCACAATGTATAGATAATTAGGAATTGAAATGTATTAATCCCAAATCAACTCATTTTTCCTTCAAGAAAAGTCCTTGAAAGTGGACTTACAGGAATTACATAACACGTGTTTATCTCTTTAACTGTGGTAGTTTTAGGATTAAATGAATGATAAATCACAAAGCTAAGTCTGGGAGGGATAATTAAGGGTCTATTTATAAAAACAGATAATTGGGAACATGGTGAGATGCTTGAAAAGGAGTCCACAGAATGGATACAGGAGATCACCATTTTAATTCAACTTGCACTTTAGTATAATGCCATATTATAATAAAAGCTTATGTTTATAATCTATGGAAGTATTCTAATACAAGATAACTATTCTAATTAGCTTGCTATAGCTGGATTTACTGTAGAAATCACATTACTTTCTCCACCTGTCTTTGATAATATACAGAGGTGGTATGCATTTCAGTGATGGTTTCATATTTGTAGTTTTAGAATGGGTGGTAAATGAAGTCAACAGCCAAAATATTATCACAGAAAAATAAAAAAAGGCAGCAGAAGAGAAAACCTTCTTACAATTTGTTTCCTTTCTATTCTAGGTACAACATAAACTGGTAAAGAAGAACACATGTGAAAAACAGTAGTCATCTTCATCAAGGTGGAAAAATGACAGAATGTAGCCCAAGTGCTGGATTTTTGGCACAAGGTTTTTCAGTAGTTACATTTTCAAAAACTGTATGAATCATTAATAGGGAAAGATTTTTCTTCAAAATTTTCCAGTTGAAAAGTGGGCACTCAAGAAAGCCTGGTCCATATGTCAAAAAACTGCATCAAATACTGATGTTACCTTTATAATAATAATATTAAGAAAAGGCCCAAGTTGCAGATGACAGCCCCTAACACAACCAAAGAATGCACGAGAAAGATGCAAAGAGTACTACAATGAATAGGTGTCAAAACCATAAAGTGACCCTGGGAGGTTTTAAAAGCAAACCGATGTCGACTGATTCAGCTCTATGATCAGCAGGGACTGGCAAAATCCCCTTTAGCTTTACTCATGATAGTCCATGAGTAGCGGCCCATTCAATTTTTTGTGAGATAATACTAACATCCAAAATTGCGTCTAGATGGTCTTAACATTATAGTATTTGTTCTGAATTTCCGTTATGCGGTATATCTGTTGGTTTCACATAACAAGTGGGCAAGAGAGATCTTAAGTTCATCTCGTTCTGACTGACTTCATTACCCTGTAGACAAGTAATGATTTTCCTAATCTGAAAAGATATTTCTGGACATACTTACCTCCACTGACACTTAGTCATTTATCGATCTTCCTCTTTGCCATCTAAACAATATATTTTTTTTTTGGCGATTTATGGGGGCGCCATCAGCAGATGATATGCCCCCAATTTCACCCATCTGATCTAGTTGAACTAGACACATTCGTCACTCTGCCATTTAGCATTAAGGAGAAGTTAGTAGTTACATATACATACATTTTTGTTTCCAATTTTTTTATTGTTTTTTTATTATTGTTATACTTTTTTGTAGTTAACTGTGTTACACTAAAAATCCTACAAGGTCATGTTATTGAAATAATACATAAGGAAAAAAGTTTACATAGTTAGTTCTTCTCAACTGGGAAGACTCCAGCCATTGGAGACAAGGATAAAAGAAGTAGCCCAATTAGTAAAAAGAAAAGGACATTAAATTTTTTATTTTATTTGTTATAACGAAGTTATATATTGCGGGATAGAGACAATTCGTAGTTAATAGAGAGAGGTAGGTAAAAGGGACTTTTATGTTACCCATCTGTTGTTTTATGGCTGCTCATCTCTTTGGTAATATATACATAATATACATAATATATACAAGTAACACGTCATGCACTTCTCGAACGTTCACGTCCCTTCCTGACTTCTCGAGAGCTTACTAGATTCGTTATTTTTGTATATATATAAGACGGTCACAAAGTGACGGCAACAATGTGTAATTGAACTGTGGACCGAGAGAGAGACGTATTGTTGAGCGCGTGAGACGTTCGTTGTGAATTATAGCGTTTGTTATAGCGCGACTGTGGAAATTAAGTGTATCGCAAACTTATATTCAGAAAGAATAAACCAGTTTTAACCCGATGACTACCGGTACTAACTTTC